TTTTTTTGCACATAATTTGTGAGTGGATAGTCATCAAGAATATGATAGTGTTGGTTATTTCTAATTTTAGCTTTGACACCGGAGGTGCTGAATGTTGCCAATACTGTTAAGTTCTGGATGAGAAGGCAGGTTAGTCAGGAAAACCGTCTTGTTTAAGGTTAAAACCTGCTCACCGTGTTGTGTGATGTATGTTGTTAATAAGCTCTATTCGCAGTATGTTTTGCTTTGCGATAAAATTTGGCTATTCTGGGACTTTATAGGATTAAAGCTGTTCATCGTGATCGTTCAAGAACTGTTATTCTAAGTTTGATTTTGTGAGATCCTCTGGGATTGAAAAGTTTGCTATTAGCGGCAACTTTAAAAGAAATATGGCAATGTTTCCCAGTTTCTGAATATCGTAGTTCAAGTCCGAGTTCAACACAGTTTCCCTTTTTCCTTGTTTGAAATGTGAATAGCCATGTGTGAATATCCTTTGTATTTGCATTGTGAAATTGAGTCTTCGTGAATATAGTGGATTTCATTTTATTTTTGTTTTGTTTTGCTCATTGTCATTCATTATCTCTTATTGATTTTGTGGCATATTTTGGTATAGCAGTATTTCTTTTAGCACAAAGTCCATCGGTGCAATTTAAGGTGTAAGAGAACACTTTGGTCCCAATTAACGCGCAGGTCCACATCGTTAAGGTGTTTACCTTGTGACCCCTTGAGCATACTTTTCTTTTTTCCTTCCAGCAGCGCTAGCGACAAGAGTGCGCCGTCCACAATAAATTGGCTGGAAGAAACTTGTGCATCTAAAAGCATTTACTACTCTTTTGAACACGCGGGTTCTGTTGATATAGTGCGTTGGCTTTTTTTTTTTTTTTAGCTTTTGCGGACTCCGATTTTGAACTGTTTTGCGTTGACCGGTAAAAGATAAATCTTTGAAAGTGCAGTCATCGGTAGAAGAGCGCTTCACTTACGCGCAGGCTCACATCTCAGGGGTGACAATTTTTTCACACGTGGCCTTCCGAGGAGTTTCTCGTGCTTAATCCTATAGTTTACAGCATTAGCGAGAAGCGATTCTGCTACAAAGTCAATTGAGTGGTGGTATATGTGCACCCAATACATTTGTATTCGACAGAGGCATATTGAAGCTTGTCGTTTTACAATACCGGAATGCTGCATTCTTATGGTAGTCTCATGTTGATTTTAGAATTAGTGGAGACTATTTAACTTTGGCTGAGACTTTGCGTGCTTGTCAAGAGTGAAATTATTCTTGTCTTTTTCACCTTCTCTCTCTTTTTTTTTCTCTCATTGGCTTGCCTGCACTTTTTGATTTTCAGGTCCTTTTTTATTTGGAACTTCTTCATTTTGTTTTTATTTTGTTTGTGTTTCTTGAGAGCAATAACTGTAATTATAGTGGCTCGATGGCTTGCCTGCTTTAGATTTTCAAGCAGTGACTCATTAGCTTGCCTGCTTTGACTTTTTTCTTCGGGTATTGATTCTTTCACTTTACCTTGTTTGCCCATACTATTAAGTATGTACAACAGCTGGTTTTACAGTCTGTAGTACCTCCGGTAAGAAAACAATACTCTTATGTGTTGTTGTTCAATTTAAATATCCCCCCAAACCCGAATCAATTGTTTTCACAGGATTTCGCATCGTTTAATTTTTTCCCGCCGAACTGGTAACTAGGCAACATTCCCCTCCTCGAGCTAAAGAAACCTTGACCAAAGATTCCCCCGTCATGGGAGCGACAGAGCTTAGCAGATCAAGGCAGTATGACGCAACGAACCTATCAGGAAATGGAGAAGAATTTCAACTGGAGGACGGAGGGTCATGGGGAGGATGGCGTGGGGAATAGATGAGGTGCGTACGAATGGAAATGCTGCTTCTTGCAAAATGTGCTGACTGCTTATATGCAATCCTGGGTGCTAACGTGAATGCAAGTTTGATACTAATACTACTGTAGTATTAGGTCATGCTGCTATAGGTAAAGGCCACTGGAGCGTGAAGCTGTGTTTTGGTGGCGGAAGGAATCGCTGGCGCTCAGAACCAAACACCACGCATCGACTGCGTTTTTCTAGCGCCTCACATGAAGTATGACAAGCTGCATCGTCATTTGCCCAGGCCAGTGATGTTCTGCTGTACTATACTGCTCAAGCGAGAGCAAACTACCTTGTTGCGCTGTGAAGTGGGATGGGCCTCAAGATGCCCTCCATACCGCGTGAGGGAAGTTAGAGCTGAATTGGCGGAGCACGTACGCCTCTGGCTACATGTTGATGATGCAAATTGCTTGAGTGTCCTTCCGACTGGCCCATACTACTAGCGTGATATTACTACCAAAACTCAATTTTGTGCAAGAGGTTCGTACGGCGAACATCCGGACATCTTATACTTGGGAAGGAACGAGGCGGAGTTCTAGCGATTTTTTTTTTAATGTGCGTTTGCTCCTTTGTGGAGGTAGTAGCTTTTACAGTTGCATTTTTCTGCAATGTGGTATGTAAGTTCATTCGGACGTTCGTCCTTTTGAGAGTGACATGTAACCTAAATATGCAGAGGCACGGTGGTGGTTTGCATTGCTTACACTACAATAGTAGGTACTACTACTAGTTGTAGTAGTAGTAATGGTAGTAATATGACAATTACAACATTATCGTGGGCGATATTACAACCCCAATGCTTCGCTTAGAGCGGGCTCAATACGCAGTGCCTATGATGCGGAGTCCAGAGAGGTTTTCCTCTGGCTCGATACAGCGTGGCAGACGTCCTGCTCACAGCGCACAGCTCGTTGGCTAGCATAGAAGGCAATACGATTTTGTGGTGCCTGTGGCACGTGGTAGACTCCCGATGGCCCATTCGCCGGTACAGTCTTCAGATTGGGAGTATTCTTAACCCGACCGAAGCCAGCCTAGGTTGAGCTCAGATCTCTCCTCGTTCTCGTTTGAGTTGTTTGGGGTGGCCGCGTTGGTACGACCCACTGGTAGATCTGCAGTGCTTGTTACAGTGCTGGGGTTTCCCAGACAGACGATTGCGGCCACAGTGAGTACAATGAGAACGACGTTGCATGACGAATAGCTCTACTTGTTGTTCAGACTTAAGTACTAGAAAGAAAAGTCAAGAGTGGAAATAAAACTGAATCAGTGCTCATGGCTTGCCTATCAGATCCCCCCCCCCCACTCCCACCCCCACCTTTACTTGACTCTCTGTACTTACATAATCAACAGTAATCTCCGATGGCGAAGCTGATCGTCTGGAGACATCACTGATTACTCAAGAAGAACTTTTTTTTTTTCTTACCCTTTTTTGTGGGATCGTGAGAATCCATTTAATAACGGCACGTTGCGCCGACATTGCGTGCCAATACAGACAATGACGGATAAATCTGCCACACTATAGAATCCGCCACCTGCGCGTCCTCTTGACAGCGTCGCGTTCATGCCCAGCAGTCAGCGTTTAAGCCGCCCTGTTAGCGTTGGGGCACATAACCTGTTGGAGTGAGGGATTCGCAAAGGTGTAGGGCAGCTGAGGAGAGCGAGAATATATGTAGGTAGAGAATCTTGGAGAAGCTTGAATATTGGACTTGTGAAGGACTTGGGTTATAAAAGGTGAAGTGAGGGCCAATTATCCAGTGCCTCACATTATTATATCTAAGTTTTGTATGTTAATACATCGTAAAGTATAATAAACGTAACTCTCATACAGCATTGTTGCCACGTTTTGGCGTCGCAAAAATTCTCGACTTAGCTGTACTACCACTGTTCATAGCGACACTCCTCGAGTTTGAACCAGAATAGAGCGAGGAGACTACGTAAATGTTCCCTAGCATCTTGTGCATCTAATAAAACTAATTGCGGATGTACTAACATGTCCGAGTCAAGCGGCACGCAGCAAGAGCTGACCCCACGTCAGAAGGATTACGTAGTACGGTGCTAGGCCTTCATGTCGAAAGCGAAGGAAGAGGGCCTCTTCAGAGGGCAGCGAACCTGAAACCTTGTTGCTGCATGTCTGCAGGTAGTACACAGCACTGTCATGATGGTGATGAACGCCTACAGAGCCGACAATGCCACCAAGTTCGAGGTGCGCACCAGCATTATTGTGGTGTCAGTGTCTTATCAGCTATATATCGTTAACCTCTAATACTTTATAGACAAACCAAAGCCCGCGAATACGACCCTGAATAGTTAAACTCGACTTTTATCTTGTCGTCGGTAAGAAGTGTTACATACTTGCCAACTCAGCCGCAGTTGTGTCTGTGAGAATACTACATCGAAAAAAGCTCGCCAACCGGTGAACCAAACCCACGTACAACAGCGGTGTTTCATCGCAGGGTTTAATGGTATCACGTCGAAGGAGTCGGTTAATAACATGTACAGACATTCACAAGGTTTCGAGAAAAAGTACGCTGAGCGGGCTCGAGTATCGGCAGAGATCATGTTCATGGCCGCAGAAGATAAGGTACCTGTTTAAATAAATGTTTGGGATTTCCTACGCACTCAAATGATTACAATCATAATAAGATTGCTTGGGTTTAATTGTGCACTTTCTTGTGCAAATACATGCAGTTAGGTGGTTGATATTGAATCGCACGAAAAAAAATCCGTTGACTGCGATTTGGTTTAACGTGTTGTTGTAATGAAGTTTGCTCAGTACCACACAAGAAAAAAACATCTAAAGCTACAGTGTGTGTTTTTTAACTAGTACTGCAGCATTTTGAACTCATTTAAAAAAAAA